GGATTTGGTTCTGCTCTCAAAATGGATTTGGATGCTTGTTTTGCTTAGTTAATTGATTAATGTAGTTGTATGGGGGATTGAATCCAGAGCTTTTGCACTGAGGTACATCCCCAAACCCTTTTTATAATTTTATATGTTGAGGCAGGGTCTCACTATGTTGTTAAGTTTCCTAGGTTGGGCTTGAACTTGTGATCCTCCTGCCTGAGCCTTCCAGAGTGCTGAGATTAAAGATATGCACCACCATATCCTGCTGCTTTTGGTGTTTTAAACAGAGGGGCCCATCTTGAGAAGGTGGGATGAGGGCGGGGGTGCTCAGGCTGCCAAAATCTGGAGGCCTGGATTTGGGAAATGGGATGGAGGAGCTGAGGGTCCTAGGGAATGGAAGGGAGCAAGAAGCCAGCCAGGGCCATGCACCCACCAGGGTCAATTGCTGTGAATGCCAGCAAATGTTTTCTACCATCCTGTGAGTTGGAGAGGGGCTAACTAGAGAGGGAAGTTGACTCCTGGAGACCCTAAGACTTCTCACAGCAGATAATGTTTGGAAGGGGAATTGGAGAGCTGTTAGTAAGAGTCTAACAATGAAGATGACCCTACCAGGAGGTACGGGAGACGGCCCCTGAGGGGCTGGGGACAATTTGAAGGTAAACAAGATCCAGCAGAGACTGTCTTGGAAATCATGAATTTTTTCGTTCTCCCTGAGGATTTTTGGTAGCTACAGTGTAATCTGTTTGCCTGGAACTCTTCAGAAAATTTTCTTACACTCAGACAGCCTGCCCTAGCTGGGGCGTTTGACATATTTGTAGAAATAGATGCAGGGCCAAGTTTTACATCTGCTTTAGTATGGTGCAGACAGAAGATGGTACAGGCTGAAGCAGGAGCTGAACTAGGAGAAATAATTCCTCCCAGGAATCTGCAGCCTCCCTCACTCCCCATGCTGGGGATCAAACCTGGGGCCTCAGGTATACTAGGCAAGCCCTCTGCCACTGGGCCGGATCCCCATTGTGGACTGGGTGCTTGCACTTATTCCAAGAAGGACTCAAGGGATCAGAACACCCCTGGCTGGTATCTATTAAGGATCAGATACACCTTCCTGACCTGCTGTCTGGTCTGTGCAAGACACTGTCCATGCCTATTATAGCCTCCGATTTACAGATGAAGAAATTAAGGCCCGGAGAGGTGACGTGACTTGCCCAAGGCCACGGAGCTAGAGAATGGCGGGTTGTACCTACTCCCTAGCCAACTGTTCTCAGCGGAAGAAACTCATCCTTTCTGGGGTTTTCATCACATTTTTGCCGAGAAGATAGCACTTGCCACTCATTTAGAGGTATCCTTTTGATTTGTAGGTCTGTTCTTTCTCCTACGACAGGAGGGTAGAAGGCACTCAGTCCAAGGGCTCAGCTCACAAGTGGTGTGCAAGAACGTGCTCAATCAATTCTGTCAGGACGGCCAAAAGAGATGCCCACAACTGTCGGGTCTTTGTGTCCATGGGCAATTCATGCACCCTCCCTGGGTCTCAGTTCCCTTATCTGTAAAGTAGGAATTAGAATTTAGACCTCCCAGGATTGCTGAGAAATTTAAATGTGATCAGGCCATCAAGTTTCTGTAAATTACAATACAAATGGCAGCTGCTATGAAGGTAGATGAAGGTAGATGCTATGAAGGTAGATGCCGAGGAGCAAGGAAGGAAATTGGGGTGTAGACATTCCACTACTATATCAGTTTAGACAGGAAACAGGCGGGCCAGCTAGTTTTCAATGTCCAGGACCACTGTGTCTTCATTCATTTTTGCTTTTTGATTGGGAGAGTGTTCTGAGCTTGGAAGCCAGTGGCTGGACATAGGGTGAATGTGCTACCACTGCCCTATCCTCCTGTCCCGTAATTCATTCTTCTGTTTTTTTTTTTCCTTGGCATTGCCAGGTAAGGAACCCAGCGCCTCATGCATGCTAGGCAAGTGCTTTATCACCAAACTGTACCATCCCCACTGGTCCCCTACATCTGTCCTTCTTCATTGATGAAACATCTATTATGTACTACTCGATCCATTTCATTCAAAACCCTGCAAAGCAAATGCTCAACTCATCCTCATTTAAAGTGTGAAAAGTGAAGTTAAAGACCTAGCTAGAAAAGCAGAGCCAGGTGTGGTGGTGCATGCCTGTGAGACTAGCACTCCAGAGGCTGAGGCAGGAGGATCGCTATGAGTTCAAGGACAGCCTGGGCTACATAGTAAGTTCAAGGTCAGCCTGAACCTCATAGCGAGACCCTGTCTCAAACAAAACAACTCTGAACAAAAAAAGAAAAAAGAAATAGCAGAATCAGAATTTGAACTCAGATCTGAGTGGTTCCAAAATCCTTTTTCTTTCTGCTCTCTACTCTACAACTTCTTGAAGCTTCCCTTCCTTCATCAGAACATTTATCAAGAATCAGCTAAGCAGGCCTTCTGCAAGGGGTAGAGAAGATATAACCCAGACCGTCTCGGATGTTTCTCATGTAGTTAGGGAGGCAGACAACTCAATGGACCGTGACACTTCAGCGTGACAAGCTTCCTGCTGGTAGACGTGCGGGTGTAGACGTGTGGGTGTAGACAAGTGGGCTATTGCTTTGTTTTCTTTCTTTTTTGGGCGCTGCTGGGGATGGAGCCCAGGGCTGTTCATGTGCTAAGCACATACTGCATTACTGAGCACACTCCAGTCCAGGGCCATTGCTTTGGACTTGCTTTTCCTCTGGTTCACAGATCCCTTTCCCTTTTGAGTCCCAGGCTCAAAAAGTGAGGGAGGAAATAGACCTCACTCATTCTGTCTGGCAGTGAAAAAGAGTGTACAATTCTCTCCAAAAGAAATCTGCCTCACCTGGCCCTTCTCAAGCTTCAGCCTCCCTTCTACACACAGGCAGGCGCCGGAGTGACTGATGGGTTAATGAGTTAATTCTGGTAGAACCAGTTTCTTTATGCTTCAGCATGCTTGGGTGGTTTAGCAATTTAATTTGGGATGTAGTGGTCCTCGGCAGTCATTGCCTTGGCCCCAAAGCCAAAAAGAACAGTCAGGACATTTGCAGTTGACTTCTTGTTACATTCGTATTTAAAAGAAATCTGGAGCAGGGCACGGTGGTGCATGCCTGTCATCTCAGTACTCTGAGAAACTGAGACAGGAGGCTCAAGGGTTCAAGCCAGCCTGGGAAATTTGGTGATTTACTGAGACCCTGTCTCAAAAAACAAATACAAGGGGAAAAAAATGAGAACCAAGACCTGTCATGTAAAGGTACACGCTCCCAATAATGAACGTAATTGTACTATATACCTTAAATGTACCAATAAACTCAATAAAAGGAAAAAACAAAGAAAACAAACAAAACAGAGAAAAGGGCTGGAGATGTAGCTCACTGTGAAAGACCCCGGATTCAGTCTCTAGTTCTGAAAAAAATAATATGCAAGGACAGTCACCTCAACAGTGAAGAATGATTATCTCTAGGTGGTGAAGTTGTACATAATCTCTGTTTTATCCTTTTTATTTAGTTAAAAATAGCTTTTTGGGCTGGGCCTAGTGGTACAGGCCTATGATCCCAGCACTCTGGGAGGCTGAGGCAGGAAGACTACATTTTAAGCACAGCCTGGGTGATTTAATGACTTATCAAACTTGTCTCAGAACATAATGGCTGGGAATGTAACTCAGTGTGAAGGCCCTGAATTTACTCTCCAGTACTGAAAAACATAAAAACATAAATAAATAGAAGGCTGTTTTTGTTTTCCACCATAAACTTAGTACTTTTGCATCAGTAAAGAACAAATAAAGCAGACCTGTGCTGCAAACAAATAATCCCAGCACTCTGGGAGCCTGAGGCCAGAGGACTACAAACTGAAACCCAGCCAGGATTACTTAGGGATTTAGTGATACCCCGTCTCAAAAATTTCTTATAAGGGACTGGGATTGTAGCTTAGTGCAAAGGCCCTGGGTTCAGTTCTTAGTACTGAAACAAATTAAAACAAAACAAAACCTTTGTTTGCGGCCTGAAGGATGCTGGAGTAGGTCTATTAGAAGCAGTTTCAGAGCAGGGCCAGGACAGAACAAGACAGTACCCAGGAAGGAGGGAAGGAGTGAAAGGTTATCCCAGATTGAAAACAGATCACCATTCCTGAGGGATCACAGAGCAGAGCTTTTTCCTTTTTTTTTTCCACCCCTCCTGTTGTTTTTTTTTGAGACAGAGTCTTGCTATATGGTCCAGCATGGCCTTAAAATTGATACTTGATACAGTCTTCCTGCCTCAGCCTCCAGAGTGCTAGGATTATAGGCCTGAGATACCCAGCTTCTTTCTTATCTCATCAATCCTGAAAACTAGATAAACTATTATGGAACAGCTGAGGAATCCAGAGTTATACTTCATAGGAGAAGAAACCAAGACTGAAGAGGTTCCATTACTTGATTACAGACACACAAATAGAAAGTGGTAAGACATTTTTGGCAATATATATAGTCTCCCAGTAGTGGGGATTTAACCCAGGACTTTTGTCCTGGGCTACATCTCCAACCCTTTATTTATTTATTTTTTGTACCTGGGATCGAACTTGGGACCTTGCGCTTGCTTGCGAGGCAGGCAGTGGCACCACTGAGCTAAATCTCCAGCTCCAGCCCTTTTTTTAAAGTCTGAGACAAGATCTCGCTAAATTGCCTAGGCTGGGTTTTAAATTGTGATCCTCCTGCCTCAGCCTCCCAGAGAACCGAGATTACTGTCTCATACCACCACACCTGGTTTAATTTGTACACTTCTAAGCCCTGGATTTGGTGGCCATCCCAAGCCCCTCCAGTTGAAAGTTGCTTACATATTCCCAGTTGGTCACACACAGGCACTCATCAGTATTAGTAGAACTATCTAGAGAAGAAACTAGTGAGGTGAAGGCCATTGTCCCATTTTTCACTTGAGAAAATGAAGGCAGGAGAGCGGACTTGCTCAAGAGTTAGCTGAAGTAGCAGCAGGTCCTTCTGGAATCTGAGTCTCCTTTCTCTCATCAGACAGCTCTCCTTCAGGAGCCTTCTGCCTACCGCTCAAGCTTCCTTCACGAAACAAGTGACTCATGATAAATCTCTGGCTGGACTTCCCCTTTCTCAAAACACAGGAAGTTTGTGTGTTGGCAATCCCGCGGGTGAACAATTTCAGGTCAGTTACAAAGTGGGAGGGGCCTGTACGGGTGCGGGCAGGGCAGCAGGCGCACCTGTATTTTTTTCTCCCCGAGGTCACCTCCCTGTGTCTGCCAAGTCAGGCTTGAAGTCCCACCCCCAAAAGCTGAATGTGCTTTTATTTAATTATTTTGTCGGGCTGGGGATTGAACCTAGGGCTTTCACACTGAGTTATAGCCCCAGTCCTTTCGAAGTTTAAAAAAAATTATGTATGCATTCGTTCATTCATTTTTTGGGGGATTTAAATTTTGAGGTCTCCCTGTGTAGTTCAGATTGACCCTGAACTCACTGTGTGGCCCAGGCTGGCCTCAAACTCATGGTGATCCTCCTGTCTCAGTCTCCCAAATGCGGGGATTACAGGCATGTGCCACCATGCTGGGCCAAAACTTTTTTATTTTGAGAAACAGGGTTTTACTAAATTGTTTGGTAGCCCAGTCTAGGCTGGAACTTGCAATCTTTCTGCTTCAGCCCAGCCACCCAGAGCTGGTATTACAGCCCTGCGGCACCCAGAAAGAAAAACTCCCCTCTCCTGTATTAATAACAACTCAATATTATTTTGTTTTTATAGCATAGTAACCTTCTACCAGGTGCGGTTCTAAGTGGTTAACATGGGAACCCATTTCAGCTATATAAGAGCCCTAGGAAGATGACACTATAGCTTTGGAACTGAATGATACTGGATTCAAATCACAGCCATGTCACTGCCCAGCTGCGTGACCCCAGGGAAATTATTTATATGCATTTACCAATATCCTTGAAGGCAGGAGGATTGCAGGGAGTTCGAGGCCAGCCTGAGCTACATAGTGAGCGCAAGGCCAGCCTGAACTGCATAGGGAGATCCCTGTCCCAAACAAACAACAAAACCCCCAAATATCCTTGAACACCTACTGTGTGCCACACTGTTCAGTGAAAAGAACAAGGGTCCTGGCTCTCACTCGGTGCTTACATTCTATAAAGTAAGTGGACAGGTTGTAACTATATTGAATACACAAATGTTAGAAAGTGGTAAGGGCTATGGGGAAGTAGACAGAAGAGCTTGCCTCAGAGAGGGGAAGAGAGGAGATGAGATTCAAACAGGTACAAAGGGTAGAGCAGTGGTAGAGCACTTGCCTAACACGTGCAGCATCCTGGGTTCAAACAAACAGCACAAAACAAAACAAAATCAAACAGCTGTATGACAGCAGGTCTTCCCGAGAAAGTGCTGTGCATTAATTTTGGGGTGAGTGGTGCTGGGAGCTATGGAGCCAGAAGCAGAGGTTCCGGTCCTGGTTTTACTACTTAGCTGTATGACCTTAGGCAAATTAGGGATATCGCTGTGTGCCTCAGTTTCCAAATCTATACACTGTGCTAATAATAATAATATCCTTCTATCCTTGTAAGTGTAGAGAAAGTTGGGGAACAGGCAGGGAGAGTTAAAGGACCTCGGTGAGGTTTCTGGTAAATAGGGTTAAACCCCTCGTGTAGAGAGTAGCAAAGAAAGACAAGAGAGAGAGAACTGATAAGCCTACCTGGCCTGGCTCACTTCTGTCAAGCTCAATTCCCTCCTCCCTCAGTCTCCGAATAAGTGCACAAAAGAAACAAAGTGGGGAGGGGGAACTATATTAGAAAAACTCAATATCTAAAATATGCACTAACCCTATACACTCAGATCCTCATATATATAT